AGAGAGAGGGAGTCACAGACTCTGAAACAGGCTCCAGGCTCTGAGCTGGCAGTCAGCACAGAGCCCGACGCGGGGCTTGAACCCACGAACCGCGAGATCATGACCTAAGCGAAAGTCGGACGCTTAACCGACTAAGCCACCCAGGTGCCCCTAGAGGAATAGATTTTAAAGGCTATCTACCAGCTTCTATGGCATCCACCATCTCAGATGTATTTTTTTTTTTAATTTTTAATGTTTATTTAATTTTGACAGAGACAGAGTGTGAGCAGGGGAGGGTCAGAGAGAGAGGGAGACACAGAATCTGCAACAGCCTCCAGGCTCTGAGCTGGCTGTCAGCACAGAGCCCAATGCGGGGCTCGAACCCACAAACCGTGAGATCATGACCTGAGCCTAAATCGGACGCTTAACCGACTGAGCCACCCAGGAGCCCCTCAGATATATTTTTTTGCATACCAACCCTGAATCTCGACTACCTAGAAAAGTAATTCTCAGACTTTAATATGTATCAGGAACCACCTGGAGAGCATGTAAAAACAGAGATGTCTGGAGTTCCCTAGCATGGCTTCTGGTTCTGTAGGTCTAGGATCTGAGAATTTGCATCTTTAGTAAGTTCCCAGGTGATCCTGATGCTGCTGGCTCAAAGATCACACTTTTTTTAGAAAGATTTTATTTATAAGTAATCTCTACACCCAATGTGGGGCTTGAACTCACAACCCCTAGATCAAGAGTCGCGTGCTCTACCGACTAAACCAGCTAGACGCCCCCAGGACCACACTTCGAGAACCACTGAACTTGAGACTAAAGCCCATGCCCCTTAACCTGCTATTCACAGCCAACCCTGGTCTCAACCTACTTTCCAGCTTCATTTCTTATCATTTCCTTCCCCCTCCACACACCCAGGGCTCCAGTCACAGTGCAGTTCTCACCTCTCTCTAAGCAGGCCAGCTGTTCACACCTTTGTGCCTTGCTGTTTCTTTTGTCTGCAATGTCTTCTGCCTGGCAACTTCCTTTCCACATTCTCTCTGATCCTTTCCTGACCCTCCGATCTGTTGTTAAGTCATTCTGTGCCCTGGGTCCCTGCAGACTTTACATTCTTCTGTTATTGTTCTCTACAGAGCTCTCAGCCATGGCAACAGGGTTGCTGAGTGAGGAAGCAAGAGTATGAATGAAGAAAGGGGGGTAAGCAGATGGAGTGAATGAACAAAGGAGGTGAGTGAAAAAAAGAAATGGTAAGTTACTACATGAACGAGTGAGCTCTGGTTCATTTGTGTTTGGTTCTCTCCATTAAGTCCTGAGCTCCGGGGCAGGAAGGGAATTTACTCCCTGACCACGTTGCTACAAAGTCCCAGCTCTCATTTACTTCTTAGCACAACTTAATTGGGACCCAAGCAGCCATCAAGTCAATCCCCCAGGGTGTTCAGGAGCTGGCTGGCTGGGGACTCACACTGGGTCATTTCCTGACAGCAGGGCTTAACCTCCATTCAGTCCTCCCTATCTCAGGCACGCTGGTATTTCCAAGTGAGTTATAAGACATTTGGGACCCTGGTGGGGCGCCTGGGTGGCTTAGTCGGTTAAGCGTCCGACTTTCGCTTAGGTCATGACCTCGCGGTTCGTGGGTTCGAGCCCCGCGTCGGGCTCTGTGCTGACTGCCAGCTCAGAGCCTGGAGCCTGTTTCAGAGTCTGTGACTCCCTCTCTCTCTGACCCTCCCCTGCTCACGCTCTCTCTCTCTCTCTCTCTCTCTTCTAGAAATAAATAAAAAACATTAAAAAAAAAAAAAAGACATTGGGGACCCTGGAGAAACAATGATGGTGGATGCCTTTCAGGGCCAAGACACAAAAGGCTTTTTCACCAGGCTAGTGGTAAGGTGTCAGGGTTGTTTCAAATTAAAATAGTGGGTTTGAGGTGCTCGAACTACTCTCTCCCTATGGGGAACCCAGCTTCTTCCATCCCCCATAAAGGAAGTCCCCTTTGGCTGCAGCAGACAGGGATGTGCCATAAGAAGGGACTCCCTGGCCCACTGTGGTCGTCCACTCAGCGATGGTGCTGAGCAGTTCCTGCATCACAGCTGGATAGTCTCAGAAGGCATCGCATCTCTTTGAGCTTTAGTGTCCTCCTCTGCGGGGGAGGGGGAAACATTTCCACTCACCTCGTAGGTGTGTGGTGAGCATCAAAACATGCCAGTAGAGGGCCCAGCGCAGTACCAGGCAGACAGTAGGGGTGCAACAGAGAATAGTGTTCTCGCAACTGACCCTTCAAAGTCTTTTCCCTGATGAACCAGGCCCAGTCAGAATTCTGGGATCTTCCTTCTATTTATTTATTTCTTATTTTTTTTTTAATGTTTTATTTATTTCTGAGAGAGAGAGAGAAAGAGAGAGAGAGAGAGAGAGAGCTTGAGCAGGGGAGGGTCAGAGAGAGAGGGAGACACAGAATCCGAAACAGGCTCCAGGCTCTGAGCTGTCAGCACAGAGCCTAACGCAGGGCTCGAACCCACAAACTGTGAGATCATGACCTGAGCCGAAGTTGGATACTTAACCAGCTGAGCCACCCAGGCGCCCCTCTTCCTCCTATGTGTAACGGCTGCCTTTCTCTCTCACAATTTACCTAATTTGGGGATCTCAACTGTCATCCTACCTACTCCATAAAATGGTCTCTGTGCCTGGAACTCTCTACAATGATGTTACCTTCCCTGGGGTCTGACTTAATGAACATGGAAGCCAATGGGTTCATCCAAAGCAGGGGATCTGCAGGCAGAGCTGCCACGTGGGGCTGCACAGGTTGTGCGGTGTGCAAACTGAGGAGTACCATTCATACCGGCTGTAAGGAAGTAAGGCCCCAGTGAGTTCTATTATGAAGAGGGTCTGTCTGCAAGTCAAATGGTCTTGAGTTTGAATCCTGCCTCAACTCAGCAATTCTCAATTGCTGATACTAAGCAGGGTGTGTAATCAGCTAGGCTCAGTTTCCCCATTTGTGAATGGGATGTTATTAATACCTACCACATGGGGTAGCTGAGATATGTAACTTAGCAGGTTTAGAACAGTGCCTGGTACAGAGCTAATATTTACTGAGCACTTAATTTTCTCATTAACTCACTAATCGAATTCATTGATGAAATTAAGTGGAGGTGTCTTTTCTGAGAAGGCTCTACGCAATCTGTGAACCACGAGTCACTGAAAAACTGCAGTAGCTTGGCTCTGCAGCTAGTGGGAGGCAGGGTCTCATGCCGTCCTCTCTCAGAACGCCACTCCAGCCTTTCTTTTTGCCAAAGTCTACTTCCATTAGGCCCATTTTTAGTTGACACATCATGAAACACCAAAGCGAACTAGCTTAAGCTTAAGGAAGCATTCGTGTGCTGATGTAACCGGAAGGTCCAATGGAGAATCTAGGGCTCCAGCTACATCGTTAAAACTTCATCTCCTTCTCCATTTCCTGGCTCTGCCTGAGTTCGCTTTATTCTCAGGCAGGTTCTTCCATGTGGCAAGAAAGTGGGTCACCAGGTGGTCTGTTTACATTCTAAGGCTTTTGATCCAAAAGAAGAGAAATCCTCTGAGCATCAGTAGAGTAAGTTTATGGAAGGCCTCTGATGGGCCCAGCTCAAGTTGTACGTTCATTCTTTGGGTCAGTTATCATGGCTAAATAGGGTGCTGTGACTGGCCAAGTTGGGGTCATGTGTCCATCCTAGTTTGACAGTCCCACAAGAGCCGCATGGAAGGGGACGCAGCAGTTCTAACAGAAGTGCTGAGCATGCAAGACTGTGGACTGTCCTTGCCATCCTTCTGTATGGCCCAGTTCACAGGTCACTTCCTCAGGGAGCTGTCCCCTCCCTTGTCCTGTGTAGACCTCAACCTTCCCACAGTAAATTGTAAATTATTTTCCGACTCCCTGACTAGTCTGGGAACAACTGGACACAGGGATGAGAGCACATTTATTCATCTCTATCACCGAGGCCTACTTTCCTGCCCGGGCTGTGGAAGGGACATTATTGGTGGCCTAGCCAGCATCCACTTCCCCATTCCAATTCAGATCTTTGTGGAGTTCCCCCTATTTCCCCCATGGCCTTGGGCTTGGTGGGGAGGCAGGCTCCAGTTTCACTAGTTAAAACCCATTAGAGTGATCCCTTGGCAGAGTGATTGGTTCAGGAATCGTCACGTGAGCCTTTGGGCCAGTGAGACGTAAGGGTCTTTGGGAAAGGCTTCTTGCTCTTTCCAGTGGGCCAGGGAGGCCAGTGGCTCCTTCCTGCCCGGTCTTGTGCTGGATGTTGACAGCTACCGGCTGCACAGCTGGAAGAAAATTCATTGTAGGCAAAAACAGACATCATGGAAGGCAGTACAGAGATAACCTGGACCCTTCATGGCCCTGTTGAGTGGCAGGGTTGGTCAACCCTGGAGGCCACCCTGCCCCAGGGCCACCAAGCCCCAAAGCAACACATTTCCTCGTTGTGAATCCACCTGGAGCTGAGGGTATTGTTACTTGCAGCCACGAGTACTCTTGAGAGTTCTTCCTGAATGAATGGCATGGGTCAGGGGCCGAAGGCTGAGAGCCGCCAAGCATGCCTTCCTTGGCCACCCACACCAGTTTTTGTTTGTTTGTTTTTTCCCTTTCACACCAGCTCTATTCTACCCTGCAATAAGAGACACTCAAAGATTTGGGATACTTTAAAAACAAACAAACAAACACAGCAGTCACTTTACTTTTAGGTCTGTACTTTACAAAACCACAAGGGAGAAGTCCTTGAGGGAGAAAGGGGAGGGGGCGGGGGATAGTAAAGAGGGGGAAGCAGAGTGGGCCACAGGCCAACCCAGCAGGGCCCCCCATGTCCTGGCTGTACAGAGCTAGGCCGAAAGACCTCAGGGGAGGGCCACAGTCCTCGACAGACTGTCACCATTTTGACATTTAACAGGCAGTCACAGGCCTAGGGTTCGGGCAGCCCAAAGAAGGAAGCAGGCTTCCTACCCCTCCTTCCCCCAGGCAAGGGGAAGGGAGCCGAAGGCAGGGGTGAGGGCTACCCATCCAGGAGCTTTAGGATGCTCTCACGCTCCTTCAGAGTCTTCCAGGCCTGGTCCTTCTCCTTCTTGGTGGGGGTCCGCTTCTTCTGCCGAGCAGCCATGATCTTCCGGAAGGCGTCCATGACCTCGTTGTCTGCCATGCGGACCCGCTGCCTCAGCTCCTGCCGGCTTACTTCTTCCTTTGCCAGCCTGTAGGGACCAGCCAACCAAGGTGTCATGGCAAGCCCACCTCCACAGTGAAGTCCCACTCCCTCTTCCAGACTGAACCCACCTACCACCACAGGCTGGCACTCCTATGGGCGGTTTCATACCAAAAAGCAAAGTCGCTGAACCGCACTTCTATGATACTGTGTGCTACTTACTACCTCAAGCCCTTCAAATATGTCAGCAGAGTTAATCCTCATAACAACCTTATGAGGTAGTCACTATTATCCCAATATTACCAGTGATGAAACAGAAGTCAAGGAGGATAAAAAAACACCCCAAATCCTACAGCTAGTGAGTAAGAGATCTGAATTAAGGCAGGCTGGCTCCACACAATCTTCTTTAAAAGGCATTCTAGTGTTAGCAGAAGACCTGCTGACTTCCGTATCCAAATTCCAGAGCAACCTAAGGATCTAGGCAGCCTGAGGTCTCCACAAGTGGGTGAGAAGCCAAACCAAACCTGTAAATGAAATCTGACCTATTTATCCCACTGCTGGTGGAGCTGGAAGGTGGCTTAGAGATGTGATCTAGCCCAACCTGTTCATTTTCCAGAAGGGGAAGGTGCTGCTCGGGGCAGGAGATACCTTGCTTAAGGCCCCGCACCTGGTCCATAGCAGGGCTGAGGACTGTACTCCAGCCTTCTGACAACTCAAGCTAGTTCCTTCATTGTCCACTACCTTTTTTAGAAGTTTATTTATTTATTTTGAGAGCGAGAGAGCAAGCATGTGCCCATGAGTGGAGGGGAGGGGGGTAGGGGGGAGAGAGAGAAGGGGAGCTGGGGGGAGAGAGAGAAAGAGAGAAAGAGAGAGAGAGAGAGAGAGAGAGAGACAGAGACAGAGACAGAGACAGAGAGAGACAGAGA